TTAGGCATTTTAATCCAAATCTGAAAACTTAGGGGAGGTTGCTGCATGCTAGACCGATGCCATGGCACTCTAGTTTGGGTGAAACAACAACAACAACAAAAAAAAAAAAAAAAAAAAAACAAGAAAGATTCAGTCATTATTCTTGGGGATGGTGTTTGATGTCTTACAAAGTACAGATGTCATATGCCATTAGAAACAGATCTGGCTCGGGGCCCGTGGCTCAAATGGCTAAGGCGCCAGCCACATACACTTAAGGTGGCAGGTTCAAATGCAGCCCAGGCCCACCAAAAACAACAATGATGGCTGCAACCAAAAAATAGCCGGGTGTTCTGGCGGATGCCTGTGGTCCCAGCTACTTGTGAGGCTGAGGCAAGAGACTCGCTTGAGCCCAGGAGTTGGAGGTTTCTGTGAGCTGTGATGCCTCGGCACTCTACCCAGGGGAATAGCTTGAGGCTCTGTCTCAAAAAAAAAAAAAAAAAAAGAAAGAAAGAAAGAAACAGATCTTTTACAGATCTCCTCCCTAAAAAAATTTAACAGTAATTGATGAATGAAAAGAAGCTCTCCCCACCTGTTAGGTATTGATGGGTTGAGCTGAGATTTCTAGGAAGCTGGGTTCAAAAAGTGTATTATCATAACTGATATAGTAGGTGTGAAGATAAAGTGCTTTGGAAAATAAAAGTTGATGATTTGTAGTGGCTTAATTGATCATAGACACTGGTGTTTAAGATATGCATGAATAGTGAGATTAGAATTGTTTCGTGAATTAATATATTGCCTTATATTTTAAATTAATATATTGCCTTAAACTTTAATAAATTAAAAATTATATTAATAGACATTTGACTTTTTTTTTTTTTTGAGATAGAGCCTCAAGCTGTCCCCCTGGGTAGGGTGCTGTGGCATCACAGCTCACAGCAACCTCCAACTCCTGGGCTAGCCTAATAATAAAATGGCCCTCAGCAGTGTGGGATGTGGGAAGATAAACAAAAAAAAAAGATAAGCTCAAATCTAAGATAATCTTATCTTTGCAATGAAAAAATTAAAAAGTAAACTTTTAGATCAACTTAAATTTAGAAAATTAAAAAAAACCTTTTAGGATGGTAGATAAAAGTCAAATGTCTAGGCTCGGCGCCTGTAGCTCAACTGGCTAAGGTGCCAGCCACATACACCTAAGGTGGCGGGTTCGAAGCCCCAGCCCGGGCCCGCCAAACAACAA